AGAAATATCATATGACCCAGCTATCCCGCTACTGGGTATTTACCCAAAGAACTTGAAATCAACAATTCAATGAGACTTCTGCACCCCTATGTTCATTGCAGCATTATTCACAATAGCCAAGATGTGGAAGCAACCCAAGTGTCCATCGACTGATGATGGGATAAAGAAGGTATAGTGTGTATATATATATATATACAATAGAACACTACTCAGCCATAAAAAAGACAAATTCATCCTATTTGCAACCACATGGATGGACCTTGAAGGCATTATGTCAAGCAAAGTAAGTCAGACAGAGAAAGACAAACACCGTATGATTTTACTTGTATGTGGAATATAAGAAACTTACAGACAAAGAGAACAAATTATTGGTTACCGGGGGAAAGGGCGTGGAGGGTGGGGACAAGAGGTGAAGGGGCATACTTATTTGGTGTATGACAAATAATAACGTACAACTGAAATTTCACTATGTTATAAGCTATTATGACCACAATAAAAAAAATATATATCCCCTCCTTCTGACTAAACTATTTCTGGTGGTGTATCTCCTCTCTCCTCGGGTTGGGTGGAACAGCACAATAGGTGTACCAAGAATAGCAGCATTGAGGCCTCTATTCTTTTTTGTGTGTGTGAGGAAGATTGGCTCTGAGCTAACATCTGTTGCCAATCTTCCTCTTTTTTGCTTGAGGAAGATTATTGCTGAGCTAACATTTCTGCCAATCTTCCTCTATTTTGTATGTGGGATGCCACCACAATGTGGCTTGATGAGTGGTGTGTAGGTCTGCACCCAGGATCTGAACCAGCGAACCCCACGTCACCTAAGTGGAGTGCACAAACTTAGCCACTACACCACTGGGTCAGCCCCAGAGGCCGCTATTCTTGAATACTGGCTGATAAATGGAGTGCGATACTATGGATTCCAGCGGTCCAAATGCCCAGCGTGCTGGGGGCCTCAACCCCATTGCAGATGATGCCTCTGTGTTAAGCCATGGGTTTAAATCGAGGCAGCATCCCTTGGTAAATCATTCTATTATCATATACATAACAGAATAAATACTTAAATTCATCAATGATCTGATAATGAATTCTGCTGACAGGTATAACTTTATTTATTGACTAACCATAGAAGGATTGCATTTATAAAGTGGGTGCTCAATAAATGATTTTGTGGATGACTAAGTTTGGATATATTCTTAAGTTATAATACATTATAAATATATACCAAGAAATGAATTGATATTCTAATTGAGGTCAATATATTAACATTAGTTAATATATCATGTCTCGGATCACGTAGTTATATTTTAACAGAGATTTATGAATCTTCACTTAGATTATCATGAGGAGACAATTTTAGTCTCTCAAATAATGGCATTGAGTGACTGCCTATTTTATTTTAAATGATTCTTATAGTATCTGCTATGAGCCAGACACTGTGGTGAGTACTGAGATTAAAACAGCGAACAAGTAGACACTGTCTGCGTTTGGGGAAATTATATTTTATTGGGTAAGATGTATACCAAAGGAGTCATTTACAAATAATTTGTGGATTCCAATTGTTGTAATATGGTTTTTGTTTCCTTCCCCCCTCCTCATTCCACACTCCCGCCCTCATCCTCCCCGGAGGCTGACTCATACTGAGACCAAGAAAACAGAGTTTTTGGAAATTTTTGTCAAGGAGGAGGCAAATATTCTTTAGCATAATAAAGTGCAGGAGATAGACTAAAAGGTGTTAATCTTGCTAGTGTAAAGAAGCTAAAGGGTTTATATTGAGAATCTAAAAGACTGACCTCAGTGAAGATTTTTTCCCCTTCTCTTCTGCCCTCAGCAATGAAAATCTCTGGAACAACTTGGCAATGGCACATAAAGGAGCTGGACAAGAAGAGACCCAGTGACAGATTATGGGGGTCTGGTTGAAAGGGGTGAGAGTAGGGAGAAAGGGATATAAAGAGAATCATAGAGACTGTGAGAGGAAGGAGAGAGAAAAGGGCCCTTGGCAAAGATAGTCTTCTGCCAACATCTAGGTGGCCATGAATGTCTAGAACATTGCAGGAGCTGCGTGTGGTAACCTGCTTTCAAGATAGTCCTCAATGATTCTAGGCCCCTGCTGTTCATGTCCTTATGTGGTCTTCTCCCATACTGGAAAGGGCTGACCTGTGTAACCAATAGGATATTGTGGAAATGATTGAGTGTGTCTTGAGTTTAGGTCATAAAAAGGTATGTGGCGTCTGCCTTGCTCTCTTGGATCACTCTATGTGGGAGAAGCCAGCTGCCATGTTGTGAGGACTCTCAAGCAGCTCTGTGGAAAGGTCCATAGGTGAGGAACTGAGGCTTCCTTCCAATAGCCATGTGAGTGAGCCAGCTTGGAGGCAGATCTTCTAGCCTCAATCAAGCATGCAAATGACTATAGCCTTGGGCTGATATCTTGACTGCAGTCTCAGGAGACCCTGAGCAAGAATCACCAGCTGAGCTTCTCTTAAATTCCTGACCCAATGACACTGTGAGTAATAAATCTTTGTTGTTTTATTTATTTATTTTATTATTTATTTATTTATTTTTTGAGGAAGATTAGCCCTGAGCTAACTACTGCCAATCCTCCTCTTTTTGCTGAGGAAGACTGGCCCTGAGCTAACATCCATGCCCATCTTCCTCTACTTTATACCTGGGACACCTGCCACAGCATGGTTTGCCAAGTGGTGCCATGTCCGTACCCGGGATCCAAACCGGCGAACCCCAGCGCTCCAAGAAGTGGAACGTGCGCACTTAACTGCTGCGCCACTGGGCTGGCCCCTCTTTGTTGTTTTAAATTGCTGTGTATTGGGGTAATTAATTATATGGCAAAAGATAACTAGTATACTAAGAGATGAATTAAACAGAGTCCACTTCAAGTTTCCACTGCCCTGTGGATTCTGAGTTGAACAGGTTGCTCTAACCTGAGCTATTTATTTGCTCTTTTGAATCCTGTGTCTGCTTGATTGGCCCACAACAAGACTTTAGGACTACGGACTGTACTACCCCACCCTTCCATAATAAAGCTGTGGTGTTCAGGTTATAACTTGAAGTGCTGAAAGGAGAACTACAGGGTACAATGAAAGAATATAACTCATTAACACTGTTTCTGTTTACATGTAAGAGTAATGCAGGTGTGGGAGACTGAGTAATCTGAATAAAACTATATTGTGTGCCCCCGTCATAAAAATCATCAGCTTGACATTGTCCTGCTCTTAGTTCTGGCCTCTTAGTTCCTCAATACCATTGACCTTTTCTTTTCTCTTTTAAAAAACATTTCTTTAAATTCATTTCTATTGTAATCTGGATCATATCGTTGCCTGTCTCCCCCTTTTAAAAACAACTTTGTTACTCTGTCTTTTGATAATAGAATATTACCTAAAACCCTCTCTTTGTATTCTACATTACAGCTTCATTTCAAAATCCAAATCCTTAAAATTGGTATTCGTTTGCAAATTAACGATGACTTATGCCATGGTAGATACCTCGTTATGCCTTCTATTGTTTCATGTAACAGTTTGGCCATTGCATAAAAGGATATGTACCAATGATTTTAATAATTGAAATACCATCCTGAGTTTTCTTTTAAGTGGAGAAAAGCCTATTAAAATTAATTCATTAACGAAAACCCCATTGTATCCAGCAAGGCAATTTCCAGTAGAAAGATACCACTATCTCCCTTGCTCACATGTTGCCATTTACATATTTAACATCCTGAACTATGGAGATTTCAATACTATTTAAGCATTAGCATGAAGCAAGCTTGTGAACCAGATATATCTGCCTATTGCTTTTATATATTTGACTCCTTCCCTCCTTTAACTTTGTCATCAAACTCTGAAGTCTTCACTGGTTCCACGCAGATTATATTAAGAATGTCAGCTTCTGGCGCCCTCTTGCGGAGAAATGCTCCTGGTGTTAGTCTTATTGGCAGCTCAGTTACAGTTTGTTTAGGGAAATCTGAAAGGATGAATCATTTTTCCATTTATTTATGCAACATGATTTGAATTCCTGAAACAGTGTGACTCACTTCTTGCTCATTTATAGGACTGAGTAACTGAGATAAATTTCTATTAAAGCAAACATGAGACATGAAAAGAAAACCTCTCGATAAGCGATTAAATTCCTATTAAAATTTTGACTTGTTAGATAGGGTTATTTGTTCTCACTAGCATTGGTAACAATTAATTGTCAAAATACCATTGACTAAATAGACTAAAGAGGAGTCTTCCATTCAGCATTTGTTATCTCAGGTCCAGGGTCAGGATCCACCATTGTCAGGAAATGTTCCCTGTGAGATGCGTCATCAGACACAATGATGTAATTCACCCTGGTGCCCATTCCTTGCCTGGCATCTCCCACACAGTGATCGCCCTTGGCCTATTCTCTACTGACACATTATTTTCTTTCCTGAGGTCAAGAAAAAAATAATTAAGTGATCATTGAGGACTTACCGTGAGCTGGAGTCTGGGAAACGCTAGAGGGACAGCACAGTGCTTGTCTAACTCTGCCTAGACTACACAAAACGGGGAATAAAATTAGGCTCACGACACGTGAGTTGTTTCTCTGGTTCTGCTAATACTTGCCTCTGTGGAACGTGTAGCTGCCTCCAGGTATCCCCATCCCAACTCTTTCTGGGAGTTCCCATCAATTCCCAGAAGTGCTCAGTCAGCTCACTCAGCCACTGCGCAATCAGGCATTTTCCCTCCTTCACGCCAGACTCTGGGCTGTGTAGGTTGCCTGGTGTTGCCTGTCAGTGTGGGTGCAGGCTGCTGATGAATGTGTGGCCATAAGGAGGCTACCCCTGCCATGTCGAGGCCAGCTGAGGTCACTGGGGCTTTGCTCTGTGCCTGGAAATGTCCCAGACTCTGCTGGTGTGCTGGAGCTCAGGTTGCGCCAAGGCTTCACTCTGTACTTTGATTTCTCAAGTCTGCACTGGCTTCATCTCCAAGTGGGGAAAATTCCTACCCTCGTTTTATTGTCTTTCATAGGTGCCAAAGCAGCACTGATTCGGGTGCCCAGTATTTCCCAAACCTCTGAGCGAGGCAGCTCTCCTCTATTCTGTGAAAGGCTCCTCCTCTCAGGCGAGGACCCAGGTCCCTGGAGGAAGGTGAGGTGGGGGCCTGGGCGGAGGGGGGATGTCATAAAACAAGATGAGCCACATTTGCCTAATATTACTCCTCTCACCCTTTACCCAGGACATTTTTAATAGAAGAAACAGTGAGCTTCACTTCTCTTTTATTTGTTCTTTGCCCATGCCCCGCCTCCCCCCCCACCCCATTCCTTGTGGCTCTGATTTATCTGTTTGCCAGAAGTGCTCGGACATGTCTGCATCTAGGAAGAATGCAGCTGAGGCTCCAAGGAGGTTCTCTCCACATTCATTGGTGGTGCCAAAGGTGATAGAGAGTGGTGGTGCCAGATTAAGAGAGGGGACATCTTTAGGTGGAAAATGCTGGCAGTCCCCATGCTTCTAAAATATTCTAGGAGTTCTTGAGGAGAGAATATGTCTCATGGAAACTCTTAGTAGTTTTCAAAACTTCTTGAACTTACCATGAGAGCATAATACTAAAAATTAGATGCTCTAACATTATTCTGCTTTATAAAGTATTTCCATCTTGTAATGTGCTCAGCAAACATGCAGAATTATTATGTAAAGCTTATTTTTTTTACAAATATTAAGGTTACAAGAGACTGAATAGGCAAATGCCTGTATAAGTACATAGATGTTATCTAAAGTAGGGTTAGCTTGACTAGGCAGACATCTGCATGAAGACATTTTTCTTTCTTTTATATTACCTGGGTAATTATGTTACAATGCTCTTTGCACCTCCTCATCTCTGCCTCTAGCGTTTTATGGTGCAGTGATACACCCCAGCTCCTCCTGATATTTACGGTTAGGTAGCCTGGAAGATATTGCTCAGGGAAGGCAGGCTGCCTGGTTTTGAATGCAGGTGTTCACGCTTTCTAGCTGAATCACCTTGACAAGTGACCTTGGTCCTCTAAGACTCAATTTCCTGATCTATGAAATGGGATAAAGGATACTGGTAGCACCTACTCATAAGTTGGAAGACTTCACTGAGGTTATTAATAAAAGCTAGACAGTACAGGGCAGGTAGCAAAAGCTTGACAAACTTTTGCTCTTTTTAAAATGAAATAAAAATTTTCTCACCAAAGTAAGTTTTTGTACGCCAATTATTCCTCAATAACGCTGTTAATAAAAGTGAGAGAAGAAAAATTTAAATGAAAATTGCCTTACTAAAAGAAAATGCTAGAGGGTTGGCCTGACGGCATAGTGGTTAAGTTTGTGCACTCCGCTTTGGCAGCCCAGGTTTGCGGGTTCAGATCCCAGTTTCAGACCTACACACTGCTCATCAAGCCATGCTGTGGCGGCATCAGCATCCCATATGCAAAATAGAGGAAGACTGGCACAGATGTTAGCTCAGTGACAATCTTCCTCAAGCAAAAAGGAAGATTGGCAACAGATGTTAGTTAGGGCCAATCTTCCTCACCAAAAAAAAAATAAAGAAAAAAAATGCTAGCTTGACTCCTAAAAATTTTGAGATTCTTTTCAAAAGAAGGTAAAGTTTTGGGACAGACAGACAGACAGGAAGGCTGTGCTTCCTGCAGCACTGTATGGAGGAAGGAGTGCCTGGGGACAACAAGAATTGGGGTCATGAAGTGACCTTTGTGATGAATTTGAATCACCACTTTACTCTGTTTTATCTAGGCCAGCACAGTCCAAAAGGTAGCACTAGCCACATGTGGCTGTTAAGTGCTTGAGATGTGGCTAATCTGAATTGAGATGTGGTGTCAGGATTAAATACACACCAGAGACTGCATTTAATAATACTGTAGTGAATATTTGAAAGTTGCTAAGAGAGTAGATCTTAAAAGTCCTCATCACAAGTAAAACAAAATTTGTAACTATGTGTGGTGACAGATGTTAAAAGACTTATTGTAGTGATCATTTTGCAATATATACAAATATCGAATCATTACATTGTACAGCTGAAACTAATATAATGTTATATGTGAATTATACCTCACTTAAAAAAAATACACACCAGATTTTAAAGATTTAGGGGGAAAAAAGAATGTAAAATAGCTTATTTGAAATTTTAAAATATTGATTACACATTGGAATGATAATATTTTGGATATTTTTTAAAGGAAAAATCAAAATTAATTTTACCTGTTTCTTCTTACTTTTTAAAATGTGGCTGCTGGAAAATTTTAAATTATGTATTTATCTTACATTATATTTCTATAGGACAGTGCTATGATCTAGATACATTTATGCCTTTTCTTGGTGACCCAGGGATACGCGGAAAGGACATAACTTCTGGAAGAAATGAGACTGAGGCAGATTAACTTTTTAATGTCAGACCATTCCCATTACATTGGTAAAATTTTTATAAATCCAGTGCTCAAAAGAGTGAACTTGAGATTCAGACATTATGGCTTCAAATCCAGACACCATCACTGAGTGTTTGTATGATCTTGGACAAGTGTCTGAATCTCAGACTTTTTCCCCCCGAACCATAGGGAGGATATTTTCACCTGGGTCTACAAACTCAGATGTACAAGAAATACACATTTATTTTTCTATAACTGAAACATTTCTATTATGAGTGCCCTGTCCATCTATTGGTGGGAACAATCTCCGTCCTTTCAGGGGTGCCTTCCCCCGTATACACAAATGTTCCCTTTGCTCTGAGTAGTGAGTGCTGAAGTAAGGGGGGGAAGAGCATATGATCCTAGGGGTCGTGGGCTGTCCCTGCTGGCATCAGCTGAGACATTCTCCTGCCAGGCTGGGGTTTAGTCACCAAGGCTGCTGTTTCTTCCTCATCCTATCTGCAACGCCTCTTCGGGCACCCTACTTCTCTCTTGCATGTCAGACCCACTTTGGGGTTTATGGAAAATGGTCATCCGGTTACAAAACCTGCCTCACAGGTGCATTGAGAGGAATAAACAAGAAGATCCATGTAAAGTGCTTAGCACAAAGCCTCCCCAAAATAAGCATCTAATAAAGGTAATTGTTATCGTTAATGTGGTTGATGCTGCTGTTCTTCTCAGTCAATGCACATGGAGTTTCGAGAGATGTAGTTGCCAGAAAAGAGATGGGTAAGCTTACCATTTTGTTTTGCTCCTTTTTCAGTAGTTGAGAGTGAGGAGAGACACTAGATACACTGGGGGACACGAAATAAAACATTGGTCTCCAGTTACTCTCTGGTGCTGATCAAGAGATGAGCAGCCAGGGCTGGTGCTGGGAAGACATGCGGGTAATTGGGTGAAGACTGGCAGATCTTCTAACATTGGAGGGTCCCTTTGAATGGTAGAAATAACAATGTCATGAATATTAAGCATCTCTGATATGCCAGTAATGTGCTAGGTGCTGTGGAAGATACAAAGGAAGTGGAAGTCATAGTCCATGCATTTGGAGAAGTTACAATTGAATAAACAAAAAATGTGTGTTGTGTTTCTGAGAGATGATAGTGGGTTGGAAGGCTGACTCTTTCTGCTTGATCTCTTATGGTGGTGATGCTTTGGTGGGGATGTCAAAGCTCAGGCTTACTGCTCAAACTTCAGATGAGGAAACTCAATTTGTTAGTGCGCTTTGAGCTCATTGGGATATCAGAGACTTATTCTTTCTAACCAAACTCAAAACAAGCTAATGGGTAATCAGAATGTTGATGTGTTAATGTACAGTGGGGGATATTCCTTTCAAGTGAGGAGAATGCTCATGTAAAATTTAGTGACAACTAATACTGATACAAGATAAAGATGAATTTTTTTCAATTTTTATCAATATTAATTTACTGACATGTTCATTTTGTCATCTGGTGGGTACTAGCTGACGCTAAAGTTTTATTTTAAATGTATAAAAGAATTCTTTAGCATTGAAAATTTTATCTACTAATTACATTTTTTAATATGCACAATGGGAAAAAACTTCCAATGTTAAGATTTTAGTAGTTATAATATCTCAGACCAGCATGAAGGAAACCAACATTTTACCAGAGGATAGTTTGAAAACCACTGCTTAAAATTTTGACTGCCGCCTTATCTTCATGCTTCCCTTCTACGCACTCACGTTTATTAAGGAGTTAAGACTTGGTCTGATCTTTGAATGAGGTATTAGATTTGGATTAGAATAAAGAAATAGGACTTAGAGCTCAAGACTGAATAAAGCACAGGAGAAAGACGTGCAGACAGACCTTTACTAGAATGCAGAGGAGCATCAAGTTGGAGACTAACAGGAGAAAATGTTCGGAGGCCAGAATTGATGGGCAATATGGCCGCACTGTGTTGTATTCAGTCGCGCAGTGGCATGAGAGCCAGATATTTGTTGGGAGAAACCTAAACTAAAAGCCTCATAAATCTCCTAATAAAAATATTGGAATTTGGAGTGATAATTTCCACTTAACAATTGGATGTTGCTAAGATGTTAAATATGACATGTCCATCTTATAAAATTTATTTAAAGATTTTTCCACCCCACCAACTCCATTTTCAAAATGTTAAAGTTTTGGATTACAAACGGGGCTTATTTTATATTTAACTTCTGTCAGTACTCGTTAAAAGTTACTTTATAAGCAATTCTTTGAAACATTCTTTAGAGAATCAGCTATTCTGAACTATGATGTAAACTATAAGTGTGTCTCTTGCCTCTCAAAGCTGTTTTTTTAGGTGATAATTTAGTAGATAGGCTTTTTGAGGCAAAAGGGAGCATATGCCACTATCACATCTAATGTAGAGCTATTATCAAATCTTCATGTTTTACTATTTCCTCCCCATCTTCTCTAAATCTCATTTAATAACATCAAATTGAGTTATAGATTATTAGAACTGTAAGGGATCTTGGTTCACATGGTTGTGATCTCTCTGTTTTTCTGGAATTTTCTAAGGGATTGGAGGAAATATAATTCAAAGTAGTCTGTTTTTTCTAGATGCTTCCTAAGGACTGGGCAAACCTCATAACTTGGCCAAAATCTTAACATTCTGCTCTGTATCTACAGTCAAGCCCTGTGTATTCTTCTGACATTTAGTTTGTTTCACTAGTGAAGCAAACAATGGTTTCTTTATCTGGTCCCTTTTTGTTAATTTTGT